GCTAGTTTTGATTTGTCCATTATGATGTCTACAAGGATGAGGAGAGGAAGTAATAACATAAGAATTCCTTAAGGAAGGTATCAGAAAAAGAAAATGTGGAGAGGAGGGTATAGCTGAAGCAGTAGAGCGCATGCTTAGCATGCAGGAACAAGGTCCTGGGTTCAATCCCCAGTACATCCTCTGAAAATAAATAAATAAACAAACCTAATTACCTCCCCCTGCCAAAAAAAAAATTTTTTTAAAGAAAAATAAAACCCAAATAGCACCAAGAAAGTGGGGATGGAATTTAGGGTGACTGATATTTTGCCCCGGGGGATGAGTATGGGTAAGGACATATTCCATACCAGCAGAATACAAGGAGATGATTAACAGCATTCTCGGAAGGGAGATTACTCAAATCTCCATCTCTCTCTCATACTTACAGGGTGGAGTGGATGATGAAGTGACCCTCTCTGTCTACATCACCATCGCCCTTCTGGAGATTCCTCTCCCTGTCACTGTACGTGCCCTTACTGAAGCATAGTTCTGGATGCAATGAGACTGCTGACCTGCTGTCTGAAACACTACCCCGCTAACAGCCAAGTGTCAGCTGTCCCTCTGTGCAACACCAGTGCCTCCCACATCAGCAGAGAATTCGGTCAATCCATTAAGAAAGATTTACACTTTCCCAGTGATGCCCTCCCCCGGCTATTTCTCGGCCAGCAGCCTCACCACCACTGCACACACACAAAGTGAATGCTAAAGATATATTCCTGCCTTATGAATGTGAGGGCAACAGATTTAAGAAATACTATTCCAGAAGAGTGTGGCTAGAGGGACAAATGCATGTGGAAAACGTCTTTACCTGTGTGCTGTGCTCTATGAGTAGACCTGGGAGCACCAGCCTCCCTGTCACACAGCCCAACCCCCCTTGCTCTCCCTTCACAGCACGTCGTTGTCCGCAATGCCCTGTTCTGCCTGGAGTCAGCCTGGAAGTCAGCCAAGGAAGGAGCCCACGGCAGCCACGTCTACATCAAGGCACTGCTGGCCTATGCGTTTGCCCGGGCGGGTGACCAGGAAAAGCGGAGAGAAGTTCTCAAGTCACTTCACGAGGAGGCTGTGAATGTGAAGGAGGGTAAGCGCACCCCAGATCCTTCTCCCATCCCACCTTCTCTGCTGCAAGCACTCCACTGCAGGAATCCCCAGGAGACCTCTCAGCATCCTTTCCCCTCTCTTCTTTTGTCTGTAACATTATAGAATCTAAGATTTGGAACTCAAGTCACACGTCCAAGGTGAGAGGCGGTACACTGTAATAGGGAGACGCTCGGCCTCTGAAGGCTGGCTCCAAAACACAGTCCCCACGTGACCTCGGGCAAGTCCCTTAACTTGTCTGTTTCAGCTTCTTCATCAGTAAAACGGGAGTAATAACAGCATTTATCTCAAAGTAAATAGTATTTATCTCATAGGATTAAATGAGCTAATACATGGAAAACAGAGAATACGGCATGGAGCACGTGCTATAAAAGTATTAGCTGTTAAGATTAAGATATCAGTTTTCTACTATATACCCAACCCTTATATCATATCATCTTAAACATAAGAAAAGATTGAAGAAAGTAACCCTATGAATAAATTCTCATATTTTATGCTCATTTCGCAAGACTGGTGATGTTGACAGATCTATTCATTATTTACACAGCACTTCTACGGATACAGTGGTCTATATGAGGGGTTGAAGAAACAGAAAAGAAAATGCAAGTAATAATAAGATAGCCAATAAAACATATTCCCCCTTGACAGTGTCATTCATTGTTTATTCTTAAAAATGTTGGGAAATATTTCAGGCATACAAAAAGGCACGGAGAATAATTAGCAAGCACCTTCAGGACCTCCCTTCCAGCTTAAGAGAAAAGTATCACCAGTGCTGGAAAGATTCCCACCCACAAGGGAACTCATTGTCCTGAATCTGTCATTACAACCTTCATGGACTTCTGTATCTTTTTACTACATATGGATCCCTAAATCATATTCAGAATGTTTACTTTTCATCTTCAGATCAGAAGCCTCATCCTTCTGAGGATTTCTGCTTGCTTCCTTGTCTGTTTGCTTTTCGGTTTTTTTTTTTAAGTTCAGCCTCAGGCTGGTAAGAGTCCCCTGCATGGGTACCTGTACCTCCTGCTCACTAGCTGTCAGTCATACTTGCTGCGGAACGCGTTACAGCACATAAAAGGGTTGCAGCTTATATCGGGAGTCTCTCCTCATGGATATTTTCTTGTTTCTTATTTGGTGCTGCTTCAAACCATGCTGCAGTGACCATTCATGTGAATATTCACATACGTGTCTCCTTGCGGTGTGTGTGAGTTTCTCTAACTCGCACTTAGACACGCGTAACCGCTGAGGAGTGGACCCAGCGCGTCTCCCGCTTTGCCAGACTGCTCTCCAAAGGGTCGTTCCCCTCCCACAGTGGCGCAAATCGGTCCCCGAGATTTCACAGCCTGGCAGCCTTTGATATTTTGATGATGATTGTATTTTTTTTTCAGTGATCTAATGAGTGTAAACTGCACGATCCCATGTGATCTGTAATCCTCATAAGCAAACTCAAAGGACAGGCTTTCTAGACAATTTAACAGACCCTGGAAAAGCCCTGGATGACATCACAAATAGGGAATTACCACGGCCAGTCAGACAACTTGCTCTGCTCTTTCTCTCATCCACCAACACAACATCCTTTTGAAAACTTAGGCCTGACTCGAGCAGCATCACTCACCCCAGCCCAGCTGAAACAAAGCAGGTTCAGCTTTCCGTAGAAGGCAGAGCAGCGCGGAAAGGTTTGAGATGATAATTGAAAAAGGCAACCCTCCCCTCAGCTCCGGCTGGCGTACTTTCCCCTGAAATTAAATATGAGTGTGTAGTCATTTTCATCGTTTCCTCCCCTCCAGATAACTCCACCCACTGGACACGACCGCAGAGGCCCGGAGCGTCGCGGGGGCACTTTCACCGGCCCCGGGCCCCCTCTGCCGAGGTGGAGATGACGGCCTACGTGCTGCTGGCTCACCTGACGGCCCAGCCCGCCCCGACCCAGAAGGACCTGGCCTCTGCCACGCGCATCGTGAGGTGGATCACAAAGCAGCAGAACTCCCAGGGCGGCTTCTCCTCCACCCAGGTCTGCAGTTAACCAGAACCTTCTACTTCACCTTCAGGTAGCAAAAGGTTTGAACAGGATATAAACACATGCAAAAAGGAAAAATGAAGATGAGAATAACTTGAAATGAGGACAATGCTATCAGTGTTCAAGGATGGTGAGAAATGAGGAAAAATGAAAGTCAAAGAGGGCTGAAAAGAAAATGCCTTGAATTCTGCTGCCGCCCGCATGTTCTTATCATGGGCTCCTGTTTCCAGTAACCACTTTGCACCCCTGAAGCAATAGTGGGACACCAGTAACCCTACACACAATGGCAGAATGAATTTAAAACTCCAACATTTTCTGGAAGTTCTAAGAGACCTTTCAGATTGTTCCCAGAAACACTATTCAAACCCAATAATCTCTCCCTGCAAATCTGTCCATTTCTAGGCCCATGTTTACTGGCTTCTTTTAAAGCTGACACATTTCATGCTTCCTCTACCGGCCTCTTAATATATAAACATTTGTTCGTCAGGAGCATAAAGAACTATCTTTCTTCATCCAACTTCCTGAGCCTAACAACTATATAGTCTCACGTCTGAAAAAATCCTCCAATATAGACAGAGCGGGAAGTTTCACCTCCGGAGAATTTAGAGGTTAGCATATGCATCCTAAAAGAGAATATGGCAACATGGAATCCCATCCTTTTTCCATTGTATTGAATCTCTTATTTTTCCATAGGAAGAGAGAAAATAATCATTTTGTTAAAACAGTCATCATTTGCTTCTGAGAAAACTATCATTTAAAGGATGCCAGGTTCAGTGTGGATGAGAATAGAGAATGTGATGTGCCAGGGAGAGATCCAAGCTTCCAATACAAAAGAGACAGCCAAATAAAAATGTCAATAAGTCAAGAATATAATTATAATTACTCATCCTGCATTTCTCTGGAGAAACTGAAGCATGACCTTGATCATGGCTGCAAAGGATCCCGGGTTCTCTCGGGACTCTGACCTCAGCAGCAGAGCAGAGTTTAGTCTGGAGGGAGAGCCAGACTGAACTTTGGTTGGTTGGTGCCAGGTATGACCACAGTTGTCAAGAAAGACATCTTAGGCAAACAACTAGGGCTAAAAACTAATTCCCATTCATACATGTTCTCCACACTACATATCCCACATATATTTATAGAGAGAAAAGGATTGATTTTTCTGAGAAATAAAATCAATTTCTAGGGCACATAGTCCTTGACAGATATGTGAAGGTTATGGTTCCGTCACCTAGGTAAGGATTATATCAGTCTTGATAGAACTCCAATACTTCCATAGTCAGGGCAAAAGGAAAGAGAAAATCAAAACCCCTTTTGTGGCAGCCAACATGGGCCTTTGGGTCGTCAAAGGGCCACCATGCCTAGGTGGGCCCCTCACCCTTCTCTTCCAGGACACAGTGGTGGCCCTCCACGCCTTGTCCAGATATGGGGCAGCCACTTTCACCAGGACTGGGAAGGCTGCACAGGTGACCATCCAGTCTTCGGGGACATTTTCCACGGAATTCCAAGTGAACAACAGCAACCTCCTGTTACTACAGCAGACTTCACTGCCAGAGGTGCCTGGAGAGTACAACGTGACCGCAACAGGACAAGGGTGTGTTTACCTCCAGGTGAGAGTCTGGGGCGGATGGGACAGGGGGCCTGGAGTAACCATCCTCACTGAAAAGGCCTAACTTGGCCTAACTGATTTGCTGGGACAAATCAGAAAGAGTTGAGGAAGTTGGGAGGAGTCCTGGAGAAGGGTTTTCCCCCTCCTAAACTCAGATTTTTGCCTTTGATGTTCCACAGACATCTTTGAAATACAATATTCTCCCGAAAAAGGAAGAGTTCCCATTTGCTCTGGAGGTGCAGACTGTGCCCCAAACTTGTGATGGACCCAAAGCCCACACCAGCTTCCAGATCTCACTGAATGTCAGGTAAGTCCTCTGACCGTGTCGCTGAATTCTGGGTAGAACGACCAGTCTGCTCACTGGAAGGCCTCAGTAAGCAGAGCAGCGTGACAGGAAATATTTGTTCTATATTTCCTGGAAAAGCAATGTGTTCTCATGTCGACACAGAACCTCTCAGTGGTGGGATTTACAGTGTACAGCCCCGACTCCAGGATCTATTACTGTCTGACCTCACTATTTACAGGTTATTCATGCCTGTCAGTAATAATTAAATAAAGAATATTAATGCCTTGCCTGAATTCCTGACTTTATTCTAATGTAGTGATTCATCCTGATTTCCTTCTATTGTCATGAAATTCTGTATTATTTTTGCTCTATTTGGGACAGAGATGGAGACTTGTTGAAAAGTGCGAATAGAAGGAAGTAGTGATTCCCCAGTACCGGCAATAAATAAATCTCAGATTATATATGAAATAATCAAGTTGGGGAAAAACACATACATAGGCAGCAATACTCAAACAGCTACAGGGCTTCTTGTATCTGCCCGCGAGAGTGTGATAACCTGGAAGGCGGTACTCTTCAGGGAAAAAGAGAAAGTCGTGTAACAAGTGACTGGGACCGACTTAGCGGTCTCAAGCCCAGGTGTGCTTCACATATAGAGCTTTCTTAAAATGCAGATCCTCCGAAATTCTGATTTATCAGGTCCAAAGGAGGACCTGGTCTCTGTGGCTTTAACAGGCTCGCCTGAAGATTCTAATTCACAGCCAGTTTTCTGAGCTACTCGAGTAAGAAATTTAGGAAGAAGTCCATGCCCCTTTCAGGGCTCTTGAGTGCTTATATTGGACACAGAAAAAGAGAACAATTAATAACACAAAAATTCCTTCTTTCTTTCTTCTCTGCATCTCTAGTTACACTGGAAGCCGTCCTGCCTCCAACATGGCAATTGCTGATGTGAAGATGGTATCTGGTTTTATTCCCCTGAAACCAACAGTGAAAATGGTACATTTCTTATAAGCCCAGGAGACCCTATTTTATTTAATGTGTTATGTATCTCTAGACTGACAGTATTAATATGAGAACACCATTAAATCAACCTCTATCAAAGACTTATTACTTTCTCCGAACTCAGAAATATAATTTAGTATGTTTGCATGGGGGCTGGTTGGTTGGTTGGTTTTCTCATTAAATTTTGTTTTAATGGGTCTCAAAATTCTGTGATGGAGTTTCAGTCATGTTTTCGTTAAGATACTCATTAAAAAATACTAATTTTAAAAACTAACAACTCAAAACTGCCACACACGGAAACACGTATGATCCAGAAAACATTTTCCTTTCCCTCGGGTTTTATGATGCATTGTTACCGCTCACCAACCTTTCACTACCAAACGGCGGTGGTCGCTTCAGACGGTTTTGAGGCTGTCCTTCCACCACTGAGGGACCTGGGGTGGCAGGTATTAGAGATCATGTTCATTCAGCCTTCTGAGCTTTCTGGGCAGATCTGGTGACCTCGCCAGCTCCACCTGCTTCTTGTCCATGGCTTTGGTGACACCCACAGCAATCGTCTGGCTCATGTCATAAATCACACTCTGCCAGGAGCCATGTGTACTAGGGAAAAGCTGGCAGCAGGCTCCTGCTTTAATGGCGCTTAGATACTTCAGAAGATAAAGCGTATGCACATGAGCCAGTGGGAAAAAATATGAAAAAGATTGATTGACATAAACTATAAATATTAAGAAGTACAGAGAAAAATGAGGTTGCTATATAGTTTGAGAAAGCAAAAAAAGTGAAAAAAAAAAAAACCAAAAACAAAAACCTCCTTCATGAAGGAACGGAAGATGAACTGAACCTTGAAATATGGGTAATTCCCAAGTTTCGGATATTTAGTTCCCTTTCCTTCAAATAAATCTCCTTTACACGTGGGTCCTGTGTCATAACTAATACTAAACCTTGCATCCCAATTACCTTTCATTTCTAATTTTGCCACATTATTGTCTTTGCTTATAAAAAGCATTTGAAGAAATGTTACCCTGAGGCTTAATAAACATCCTTCTTTCCTCTGGTTTCCCCCAGGGTTTTCATCTGTTTATTAACATTTATGATGTCTTAATTTTCTTCAGCTTGAAAGATCTAACCACGTGAGCCGGACAGAAGTCAGCAACAACCACGTCTTGATTTACCTGGATAAGGTGAGAGCCCTGCTGTTCCGGTTGCAAAAAATGTAGACAGTGATGCCTCTACAGAAGCTACCTGGGAAGTGAATGAAGGCATTTTGGAGGCATCACTTCCATGCTAAAAATCTGGGAATTGTAATATTAGTTCCAGTAAATATTCGCCTCTTCTCTATTTTTCATCTGGGACTATGGGGAGAAATGACTTGTTACAAATATTGGAATATGAATATTTCTAGGACTCCATAAGCAAGAAGTTCCCCACAAAATGTGCTTACTATGTGCATAAGTTATTTTGAAGATAGTAATATAAGAAAGTAACTATTGGGATTAGTCAATTATTATTTCAACATTACATCAATGAGACAAAAGGGGACCTTACTATCAATCTCATCAAGGACTTTGGCATAAAATAACAAGATCACTCCACCAATAAACCAATGTGATTTCACAGCTGTGTGTTGTTACATAGTTTCTTCATTACTATACTGATGGATATTATAGTTTGCAAATTTTGTAAAACAAGGCAGCAGTGATCAACTGTTGATATTCCTTTTGGAGTCAACATAAATATTTCTATAAGACAGAGAAGTAAAACTGTACCAAATCTCCAATATTTAAAAATGAACGTAATTATTTAAACAATAAAAAGCATACATCATTCGCCCTCTGTGAACAGAGCCCTGTGCTCACATTGATGGGAGTATATGAATAGTTTTAGTTATTTAAGAAACAATTTGGGGAAGTTTCCATCTGCTCTGAGAGCTTTTGGCCCAATTTAACGATCCTGTTAGTTGACAAAAAGTTTTTCCCCAAGATAGATGAGTACTTATACTCATTCAAAGAAGACAGAAGAAACGTCCCTGGAGGGTCATTTAACTGCCTTTTGCTTTCTAGGTGACAAATCAGACTGTGGGCTTGTCCTTCACAGTTCTGCAAGACGTCCCAGTAAGAGATCTGAAACCAGCCATAGTGAAAGTCTATGATTACTACGAGACAGGTGAGTGAGAGCAACTTTCACACAGAAATTAAATTCCTGATCACAGAAATTTAGATTTGAGAAATGTGTTCGGGCAATTCATTACTCTGATTGCTCTTATCACTTCATTTTGTGTCCATCAAAGTCTGAGTCTCCTGTCTTTATCTTCTGTACACACATTGTAAAAATAACCTATAGGATAAATTTACCAACTACTAATACAAAGCACCTTTTCTTCAGATAAAATCAACTGTAGGACAATATGAAATTTAAGCAAGCATAACATCTGAACTGCTACCCTTCAGGAGTTTAGGGTAAAGCAAAGCATAACATACAGTATCTGAAAAGTTAATAACATAAGGCAGAAAGCAATACATCAAATGAATGATGCTCATACAACACAATTCTTGCCACAATAAAGATTCTTCCACTGACCTGTATCCCATAGATGTTTGCTTTCCCTCTCACTTGACCTGACAATTTTTGTTTTTATTCAGATGAGTTTGCAGTTGCTGAGTACAATGCTCCTTGCAGCAAAGGTAAGCAAAGCAATTCACACACCTTCCAAATGGAGTCAGAACCCCTTTGGCTTGTCCCCCAAATCCCCTGCATAAAATTCTGGCTAAATACTTTTCTCAGACTTCATACTGCTCACAGTGCAAGTTATTACAGAAAAAATGCACTTATTGGGAAAGGGCCACTGATGGTCAAACTTCAGACAGCTCATAAAATTGCATTTTGGATAATTTTAAGTAACGGATCTCATTTCCCACGTATATACTAGTTGGATTTCCTCAGGCACTATGCTACCTGGATCCAAGAGAAGGAATATTCACTGCTCAGGAAACCCAAATCCATCTTAATTTTCTCTTCTTTCCACTATCACAGATCCTGGAAATGTTTAAAGATCACATCAATGAAAACTGCTTTGCTAGAGTCCCTGTTCCACTAACTCAGGTCTCCATGGAGCAAAAGAGTCTTTGAATCTCTGCAGGCTTGATGAATAAACCTTTGTTTCTGGTCAGCTCTATCACTGTTTCCTCATTTATTCCATAAACATTTATTACACTTCCACATGAGTCCCAGTAGAACGCTGAGGAAAAAATTCATAGCGATCAAGAGCTGAGGGGCTTTGGGCTTCAGAAATTGAAAAACGTTACAGAGATGCTGGTCTGAGCAGGCTTCACGTAGAGGTTACAGGGAAAATAAGAATGTATTGGATTATGTACTAGGAGCGTGTAAACTTGTTTGGTGACAGGTATATTCTAAGAAAAAGCCAAAGAGTGCATTTAGGAGAAAATAAATGGTTGACTTGACAAGGAAGAACTTTCCACTTCAAAGGGAAGTAATGAAATAGACAGTTGGGCATGTCACATTGGGAGGCAGCATAATTAACTGGGACTTGATTTGAATTAGAAGTTATGAGTCCTCAGAACCAAATCTGCCATTGACTGACACGAGTGATCAATCAGTTGACCTTGGGTTTCAGATTCAGTAAAGGATGGCAGATTGAAAATACTGAAGAGGTGACACAAGTCACAGAGAGTTTTTCTAGAAGAAAGGATATATAGTGTTCAAAGCACAAATACACTGGAGTATCTTTTTTTCTGAAACTCTGAGCCAGAACCAAAGGATGGATATAAACTCAAGGAGGTATTCAGATGCATTAAGTATTAAAATTATCCATTACATAGATGGAGGGGCAGAAGCTTTGGGAGTCTGAAGAGAAGATTCCTGGGGAAGTCCCAGGAGTTCTAGTCTTCATTTGATTTAGTCTGACAGAAGCCTAGGTGCTGCAAACTAAGAACTCCAAAGGACTGTGAAGTTCAAGCATCCTTAGCTGTCTCCAGGATAGACAAAAATAAAAGGTAAAAGTTATCACCTTCAGACTAGGTTCTACTCTAAGCACTTCACAGGTATTAATATATCAACCCTATGAAATAGGGACAATGATAACAAATGAAGAAACTGAGGCACACAGTGGTATAACCTGCCCAAAGTTACTCAGCCAATAAATGGCTGAACCAGAATTCAGTACCAAGAAGTCTGGTTTCCAAGTCCACGTTCATAACCACAAACCACGCTGTGAAAGGAAAAGTACGTGCAGACATGACAGTAAAGGAGATAGAAATGTTCAGGGGTCAGTTCATACGGTGTTTTATATTTTATTTGTATTTTATTTTTTAAAATAATAAGGTGCTGTGTGCTTGCATGTCCTTATATGTGCCTCTCCGCTGACCTCATCTTTCCCCACCTTGAATCAGTTGGTCAGGGGCGTCCATTTGCCTCAGGGAAATTGAGGTAATGGCAGGAATTCAAAGAGAAAGAAATAGAATACTTGACCTACCTTGCCAAAATAAATGACTTCTAAATTTATTTTGACTCCACTGATAAATCACAATTCTGGCAGATTAGAATATAACAATTTACCCCATGAAAGAGGTCACAAGAATTCAGAATATGTTAGGAAACAGCTAAACAACAGCAAAACATGTGACTGGAAACAGAACAAGGAAGCACTCTGTATATCAACATAGAAATATCCCCGGGATTACATTGTTCAGAGAAAACAGTAGAGCAAAGAACAGGATACATATTACAGACTCTTTTATATAATAAGGGGGTCGGGGAGGAAATAATGTGTCTGTATTTTTTGCACTTACATAAAATAATACTGGAAGGAGACCCATTAGAAAAAAAAAAACAGCTATTAAAGTGTTTCCCTACCTAGAGGAACAGGGAAAAATAACTGGAAGTTTTCAAGGATGGGAAGGAGACTATTTAGTGAATACTATTTAAAATTATTTGACTATTGAACCATATGAACATATTTACTATTCTGAGAATTAAACTAAAATCCAATGAATAAGAAGCTTAAGACTAAGAAGAAATATTGAACTCAGTACCTGGCAATCTGTACAAGGAGAAAGAATATACTTACTCTATCAAGTAGCATTAAAGGTGTCTTACCTCATAATCATCATTTGGTCCTAAAGCCCGAATACTCTTCATATCTTGTTTTATGAAATGCATTTTCCTGCTTCTGCATCCCTTTTTCCTCCTCTTCTTTGATTTCTTCTCCTCCTTTCCCCAAATGTTTCTCTCTTTCTCCTCAGCCTTTGTCTACTAAAGAAGACAAGAAATAAACTCTTTAAAATTTGATGGCACGTGTCCACCCTGATCCATTAAATATTCTTTCTTTCCGTTAAATATTCTTACAACAAAAACCTAACACCTTTATTCCAGGAGGTAACGGTAGATTTTGAATTATTCACATTAAGTGAATAACAATAATAGTATTAATTGCCAATATACTAAGACTTGGAGAGGTTAAGACATTTTCCCAAGGCCTAACAGTCTTGTTATGAAGCCTGTAATTTATTTTAAATTATTTAGCATGGACAGCACAGCACTGTCAGGCATGTTTATTAGAAGTTAGTACTCTGGAATGGGGCCTGTGCATCAGGATGTTAAATGCTTCTCGGATGCGTCTAATGCACAGCCAAGGTGGCAAGCGCTGCTTTAAGCCCGTTCTCAAAGAGTGATCTCCAGACAAGCAGCATCAGCATCACCAGGGAATTTGACCAAAATGCTAATCTTAGGACCCCACCCCAGGCTTACTGAGTCAGCAACTCCGTTAGTAGAACTCAGTGGTCCATTTTAACCAGTCCTTCAGGTAATCCTTGTGTACCCTAAGAGAAGCAACAAGCTATCCTTCCTTCAGGGCAGAGAGTCTCAATCCTACTTGAACATTAGAATCACCTCATTAGAAGAAGTTTTTTGTCTGTTTGCTTGTTTTGCTCTGTTTTATTTTGTTTTACTAATGCCATGGCCCCATGCCAAAATATTCAGATTTAATTGGTTTAATTGGCCCAGAATGGGGTCTAGACAGCAGTATTTTTTTCTTTTGGTTGATTCTAATATACAAACAAGGATGAGAACAACTGTTTTACGGGCAGTGCCTAACCTAATCAGTAAGTCATGTTCCAGGTATTTCAGCTTCCAAGCCAGCAGGTCTCACTCCTACACAAAAGGATCATCTACAGAGCTTTAAAAACATACTTATGCCTGGGCACCAACACCAGAGTCTTGATTTAATAGGTTTGGGGTGGGGAATGTACATAGCTAGCCAAAACACTATAGTGAGTGTTCCTTTCACCAGAAGTTGAAAACAACTAATCTAATTACAGGTTGTGCTACTAAGAGCATTTCAATCATCTTTATTTCCCATCAATAACAGAGGTTTTGCTTATTATCATAATAAGTGTACAATGGGTTTTCATTAGTGAAATTAGTGGCTTTTATTCAGCCTAATGGTTGGAAATGAGTTTCCATTAGTGAAATAAGTGGTAATCCAGAAATGTCAATAGGCTAAAATATGCCAAAGCAGTGGCTTTTCAGAGTTTGGTTCCTGGACTATTAGCAATACAGTGTTAAAAAATGCAAATTATAGACTCCTTCCTAGAGTTTCTGACTTAGAAACTGCAGGGTTGTGTCCCTGCAGTTCATATTTGAACAAATCTTCCAGTTGATTCTGATGCACACTGAACTTTGAAAACCAAATGACTAGAAATTTATGAACTACTACCAAAAATAATAAACTATTAATGTAACTGGAACAGAGTGAGGCCAGTTCACAACGTTTGACACATTTGAGGAAGAATGTAATCACTTAAATTGTGAGTTAAGAAAAGGAAATGTGTAATCTTCCATAAAAAAAAAATCTGAAGCTGAGGAGACTTGTAACCTTGTCTTGGTGCCTGAAAATTCTAAAACTGAAAAATAGAATAATTGAAATTAAGAATTCAAAGGACAGACTTAACAGTATATTAAACATAGACAAGTAGAGAATAAACAACTCAGAAGATAAGTCAGAAGAAGCTATTCAGAGTAAGTCATGGAGGACAAAAGGATAAAAGATACAGGAGTAAAGGTGTGAGTCATAGAGATACCGTGAGAAAGATCAACATATATGTGATTACGATCCCAGAAAAAGAGTGGAGAGGAAATGGTATAAACACTACTGAAGTGATAATGACTGAGAACTTTTCGAAACTAATGAAAGACATCATGGCACAAATTCAGGAAGTGCTAAAACTCAAACACGATCAGTAGAAACAAAGCCATTTCTGAGCAAGCACAGACAGTTCAAAATAAGATGAAGCCAAAGAGATCCACACCAAGACACATACCAATTAAAACGCCAGAAGTTAAAAGATAAAGAGAGACTCTTGAAAGCAGCAAGAGAAAAAACAACTGGTTATGTACAAGGGAACCCCCATAAGACTAGCTGATTTTTCAGCAGAAAATTTATGGGCCAAAAGGGACTGGCACCATATATCCAAAGTACTGAAAGGAAAAAACTTAAACCAAGAATACTCTACCCGGAAAGGTTAGCATTCATAAGTGAAGAAGAGAGAAAGAGTTTAACAGACAAGGAAAGGCTAAAAGAGTTCAGCACCACTGAACCGGCTTTACAAGAAATGTTAAAGGGACTTCTCTCAGCGGAAAAGAAAAGGCCACAATTAGAAATGCGAAAATTATCAAAGTAAAAATTTCACTGTTAAAGGCAAACATACAGTAAAGGTAGTAGATCAACCACTTATAAAGCTAGTAGGAAGTTTAAAAAACAAAAGTAGTAAAATCATCTATATCCACAATAAGTAGTTTTAAAATACACAAACAAGAAAATGTAACATACGAATGTCAAAAGCATCCAATATGGAAGGGGAGGAAAAATTGGTAATTATGTGATGTCATAATGGTGTTAGCTAATGCTATGGCCATAATCATTCTGCAATATGTAAGTGTATCAAATCAACATATTGTGCGTCTTAAACATATAATGTATGTCAATTATATCTCAACAAAGCTGGAGGAAAAACAAATGAGAGACAATCTACAAAATAACTGACCTATAACCTTTTAAAAGCAATTTCACGAAAGACAAAGTGTGAAGAACTGTTTTAAATTGAAGATGAGTGAAAAACCACAATGAAGAAATACAATGTGTGATTTTGGATTAGGCTC